CAATTTCTAACATTCTGTGATTCTGTGACATGCATGACACGGAATAGACTATTGACCAATTTGGGTCTCAATCCTAAACCTGTGGTCAAATCCTAGGCTAGTAACTGGGGCTGTGCTCCCTCCCGGCTTATCCTGCACCTGCAGACACTGGCACAGCAGAGAAGCTGAAAAGTCCTTGACTGTCCTGGCAGCAACTGTAAAAATCAGTATGTTATCAGCTTTCTTCTCAGCATGAATCCAAAACACAGCCTCACCCTAGCTACTACGAATAAAAAGTTAACTCTGTCCCGGCTGAAACCAGGACAGAACTACAAGCCAGTCAGTCTCACCTCTGCCTGGCAAGATCGTGGAGCAGATCCTCCTGGAAACTCTGCCAGGCACATGGAAAACAGAGGTGGTGATAGCCAATGTGGCTTCATTGGGGGAAATCGTGCCTGACAAATTTGGTGGCCTTCCATGACAGGGTTACAGCATTGGTGGATATGGGAAGTGTAACTGATGTCGTCTACTCGGACTTGTAAAGCATTTGATACTGTCTTGTGTAACATCCTTGTCTCTAAAATGGAGACATGGATTTGACAGATGGAGCACTCAGGGGATAAAGAACTGGCTGGATGGTTGTGCTCAGAGTTGTGGTCAGTGGGTCAATGTCCATGTGGAGACAGGTGACAAGTGGTGTCCCTTAGGGGTCTATGCTGGGACCAGTATTATTTAGCATCTTTGCTGGGGACATGGACAGCAGGATTGAGTGCGTCTTTGGCAAGTTTGCCGATGACACCAAGCTGTGTGGTGTGGTGGACACACTGGAGGGAAGAGATGCCAGCCAGAGGGACCTTGACAGGTTTGAGAGGTGGCCTGTGTGAACCACATGAAGTTCAACAAGGCCAAGCGCAAGGTCCTGTAAGTGGGTCAGGGCAATCTCAAACATGGATACAGGCTGGCTGGTGAGTGGATTGAGAGCAGCTCTGTAGAGAAGGGGTACCGGTGGATGAAAATCTGAATATGAACTGGCAATGTGCACTCACAGCGCAGTAAGCCAATCCTGGGCTGCATCAAAAGAAGCATGACCAGCAGGTTGAGGGAGGTGATTCTCCCCCTCTACTCCGCTCTCATGAGGCCCTACCTGGAGTAGTGCATCCAGCTTTAGGGTTTCCAGTACAAGAAACTCACAGACTTGTTGGATCAGGTTCAGAGGAGATCCATGAAGATGATCGGGGGCTGGGGCACCTCCCCTCAAAGAGTTGCGGTTGTTAAGCCTGGAGAAGAGAAGGCTCTGGGGAGACTTTCTAGCAGCCTTCCAGTACTTAAAAGGGGGCCTACAGGAGAGATGGGGAGGGACTCTTTATCAGGGAGTGTAGTGATGGGATGGATAAACACTTAAGAATAGGACAGAAGGCATCATTTTGTTGCTACATAAAACCATGGTGTGCCTACTGCATGTTGGTCTGGTCTCTATTTTAAGAAGTGGTAGACTTACAGAAGGTACAGAGAAAGGCAGTTAAAATGAAGAGAGAAAGTGTTTAAGGAAGAGATACTAAGAAGGCCAACACTCACCAACCTGGAGAGAAGCTAGATGGTGAATACAATCATGGCTTACAAAATCATCAAGGCAGTTATCATTACTAACTAAATCCCACAAGGCTACACGTATGGAATGCTTATGAAACTAAAATGAGATTAGCTTTAAACAGATGAAGGGACATACTACTTTACACATCAGTTAGCATATTTATGAAACTGGTTGCCATTGAAGATTTTTAAGGAAAATAGGAGAATCAGGTTCACAATCAGGTAAACAAAAAGGACAAAATCATCAACAACTCCAGTCTACAACGGAGTGCTACTAGACCAGGGCAGGTATGTGCTCCAACAACTGTTAGACAGCAACTGCAGATACTGGGGGAATGCATAAGAGATTAAAGAAAATACTTAACTAGCGTGCCCTTCTTAGACAGCACCTCCTCCTATTGCATCTGAGACAGCAGTTTAGACATTTAGTAGAATGTCACACTACCTTCAGATTTCATTATTTTCAGACTATCATCAACTACTGCACATTTGATGAAGTTGAATAAATTCTATAATTAACAGTTTCAACAATATAAGTTCATGATTCTCTACAGTGCAGCAGAAAAGCTACTTCATCCGATTTGATGTACATAGCTTTTTAGCTGCTTACATGAAAGAGTAGGTGATTTTTAATTACAGCTGCAAACATAGACTCTAAACAAAGGTTAGATTTTTCTGTTCACCTTACAAGTGGGTACTACAAAGGCTTTCAAGATTTCATCCTCTAAGTTTTATTTGCTCATTTTCACTATTTTACAGACATGAAGTCATAAAGAGCTTTGTCTTAACAGTTCATAATATGAACAGGAGGAGGATCAGATAATAACAAGAAGATAATTGCTGAATTTTAGACATCTGGTTACTCAGGATCAGGAAACCTTTTGGATGTAAAACAGGACATTGCTCTCATATGTGTCTGCTTAAGAAAAGTAATGCCGTGACATTCTTGTCTTGCTTTTTGACATGATTCTGTGAATGTGACTTGCTGGGAGCTGCAGGATTCTAGAAATGGAAGCTATTAAATGAAAATATAAAAATACTTTCTTGAGTTCTTTGAACAGCACACAGATGTTCAGCTCTGCATTTAGATTCTCTTTGACTATTGCTTTCCTATAAAATGAAATGCAGAGTCAGCATTACTACCTGAAGCTAAGTAGTTTTGCAGCCTTCTCTGAAAAGATTCTGCTAAAAAAACACTACAGCTGATGCTGGCAAAAGTTAAATAGCTGGCAAAAGTTAAATAGTGGCTCAACACAGACAAAAAAATTTAAAAACCAACACCATCCACCACTGCCAAAACTGGTATTGATTCATTTCAACAGTAAAGGAAATAATCTGCAGCATGTCCAAGTTTTGCTTTAGCATTACTGTTCTTCTAAACAAACCTAAGGAAGTATTCCACACAGATACCAAAACTATACTCACTTTCTTCTCATGGGGCAATCTTTCATGAAATGGCCGATTTTACCACAAATTCTGCAGCACCTGTCATTTGGTGCCAATTCTCCTTCTGTTAGTACCTCTGGGTCAAAAAAGTATTCCTGAAGAAGAAATCATGCATTGAAAATGAAAACGCATATACTTGGTAATCAAGACAGACAAGCAAGTGTTAAAACAGCAGTTAAGAGTCACAGAGAAGGATAAACTTTGTGTGTGTAGCTGAACTCCTGGAAGACCTGATGAGATTAACTGGCCTGTGGCCTCTTGTTTACAGGCAGCCTGCTGACCACCAGGTCTGCAAGCTCGTTCTTAAAACTTCAGTTTTAACAAGTGGTAAGCTGGTTTTGATAGGGACTAAAATGTGTAAGCCTGTACATTGAAGCTCTGACTTGACTAGTATTCTGCATGCCAACACATTTTACATGCAAACACCATGAAAATGGAACTCAGTAATAATTCCCATAAATATTTTTAGAGTACTGTTGATATTTAAGACTGAAGAACTTAAACAAAATGTAACCATACTCCTGCAAGTGGTAAGTTATGCACCCAAGAGCACACACATACTGCTCTTAGAAGCAGCTTACCATTTTTGATGGATATTCTTTAGGAAATACTTTTACAGGGGTACCAAATACCCTTCTGCCATTGATAAAAGCCTTCATTATAAAATTTGTCACTGGGGAAAAAAAATAAAAAAGAAAAAACATCATCCAAACATCAAAGAAGCCAGTAAAATAAGATCTAAGACAAGATCTTCACTTTGCACCAGAATTTGGTAACAGGAGACTTACTTTTTCTTGACAATCCAGCTCCAAGATTATGGTTCAAATCAAAGGGATCTGTACAAAAAGCATCACAGGCATTACTCAAGTCCAGGACAAGATCAACAATAAACATATGAACAAATCAAGGCGGCTATTAATATGCTAAAATTGAACTGTTTACAAATTTATTGAAAATAAATTAACTCCATGGACAAAGGATTATAGCTGTCCACCTTTGAACTGACTGAAGTATTATAGAAGAGTAAGTTGAATGTGCAGGCAAGAGAGTAGAAGTTCTTTCCATGAAAGTCATATGGGTCAGAAAGTGGTTCAGGGAACACTTCTAAAATGCATCACTGCATTTTCTTGACAGAGGCCATGGTATTACTTACAAGTGTAATCACACACAGGATTAAATCTGTCATGTAAATATGGGTGCAGTTAAACTTAGTATTTGTAAGAAAACCTCGGTTGCATTACAGCTAATTTCCTTGCCAAAGGACTTGCTTAAATCTTTTTTTTCTGTCACTGTCATCATGAAAAGTATGAAGTCTACTTTGCAGGTTCTTTTCAGTACATGAAAAAAAAACCCTAAGAATAATTTTTATCACTACTGAAACTCAATGAGAATTTTGCGATTATTTCAAAACATGAGCAAATAAGAACTTAGAATCTAGTAACAGAAAAATGAATAAGCCTCATGGAAATACTTATGTTTTCATGTGGGCATTAAAGAAATTCCACATTTTCACGTACTTCATGTGCTTTTACCTTCAATTACAATGTATTTGGAGGTCCACTGCTTCTTGAAAGTTGTAAGCAGATTTTTTCTCCTAATGCAGATGACATGCTCTTTAAAATCAAATTCTTCGGTGTAGAAACGGAGAAGTCCCAGCCACAGTTGCCCAACAGATTCAGTGTTTTTGCCACAGTCTGGCCAAACGGCTGACTGAAAATGATGGAAATATTTTTACTTCCAGGAAGCAGAATAATTTTTACTTATATTAAGCAGAATAGTTTTCATAACTTGGAAACTCACATAATGCAAGTCTTATTTTATAAAGCAACTCAATTGAGTTACACTGGAATACTTCCTTTCATAACTGGTAGTAATGATCCAACAATTCAAAAATAATGTTAAAAATACTAATAACAATAGTGGAGAATTAATAAAACTTTTTAATATTAGGTTTTGCCTGTTATAAAAGAATTTATTAATTCACTTTATCTGTCTGTTTAATACAAAATCATTCAACAGGATTAACCAGCTATGACAAATATCCAGCTGGTATCTGTAGTTCTCCTCCCAACAATGTGACACACAGAGCCAATTAATCATCATTAACACCATACAATAATTTTTTAATCTATTTTTTCAGATTTTTTTCAGATTTTTTTTTTTTTTCACAGATTAATTACAACCGATGATATTCTTAAAGCTTTACAGCATGAGACTGGGATTTTCAAAGCAATAGCTACTCCACTTACCTTTCTATATTCAACCACCATATCTGAGGACAGTGTTTCTTAAAAGGAATTATTTTCCATTTGCAAAGCTACTGGTAACACCACTTCAAATTAACCTTTCTGATTTACTCACCAACTCCTCTATCTTATCAAAGAAATAAACGTTCCATCCATCAACTAAAATTTCAGGCTTTTTTGGTTCTTGGTAGATCTGAAAGCATAACATCAAAATCATTAGAAGAGCCCTTCAGATTCAGCACTGACATTCTTCTGGTCAATACTGTGTACAGATACTTGTTTCCCTCTTGATATACTGTACCTCTTGAAGAACAGGGATGACAGGTGGATTTCTCTGTTGAAGAAAATAAAGCACCATAAGAGTATATGCATAAGAAGAAAGGCTACCTCGAGATGCATCTCCAATGTCACATATCTAGAAAAAGAAACATGATTTTTATCTTTTATGGTTATAATATCTTGCTGGGGGCACTACTGCTTCTAGAATTTCTAAAATATGCTTACCTTTGTAAAGACTTTCATTGTGTAACACAGATACTTTACTCTAGGATCAATGGCTGCATACGATGACAGGAGTCTCGTGTTATGCAAGGCCTGTAAAAATAAGGAAGTCATACAGAAAATACAGAAGTGCTGAAGAATGAAGGAGTGAGCTGAAAACATGAAAAACAAAAACTCCAAGTTGTGTGCTCAAGAAATGCAGATGTGAAGCCCTGTGTAGCAGAATGTATGTTGAGAAAGGAAGCATTCAACAATGAGATTATCACCTGCTCTGTTATAAAGCTGATCAGCATCCTTAATCTGCACAGGAGTGGTACAAAGCAGCTTTCACAGAAGAGGACTTCAGAAAGGGAAGCACTAATTTACTACTGCATTTTCAGAATATTTGGTAGAAGGTATGTTCTTTAACTAAGAGATTTGAGCCCAGAAGCATGAGAGCTATCACCTGACACATATGGATGTGTAATTTCAAGAAGAAAACTTTCAGACTTAGTGATTGAGGTGTCTCTAGATTTTCCTTGAGCTCATACAAAAACTTCAGAAAGTTTAGTATTTGGCTGGAAAACTTACTCTCCTTTGATGTTTCAAGGAATTGGCTTTTGAAGTTCAGAGACATTGAAAAAACCCAAAACTTGTTTTTAAAATATTTGTCCAGGATCTTGTTACACTTCAGGCAAGCTAGGTTAAAAATCACTATCCAGGACTCAAGGCTAAGCAAGAGCCATCATGGGAAGTGGAGTGTAGGAAAGCTGAAGTTATATTATTTAGTCTTTCTGATTTACAGAAAGACTTAAAATGCCTAAACCACTATTTCTTACTATTACTGAAAAACTAATATATTTTCTTAGAGAAGTGACAACTCTAAAGTCACAGTTGTGCAACTGACTACTCATAGTCAAAAAAAAAAAAAGGTTGTTCAAAAATCTAAAACTGCAATAGGTAACTGGAAATGGTTGATTATTGAACTTCACAAAACAACAATCTTTCTGTTTAAAGAAAATAAAATAAAAGAAGAGATAATCTTACCAGAGTATTATATAAACTGATGTCTACTTCAAGACCACTTCTGACATGGAAAAATTTGACAATTGGGACTTTAGCAGTTGTTATAGGCAAGACATTTCTCAAACCTACAATGAAATGTTTAATTACTGAATAACTGCAATACAGTTGTAACAGAATCAAATGCTCTACAAATAACTCCAACTGTAGTAAAAAAGCTACAAAATAACATCTTAGTTGATACCAAAATTGTATTTCAGTTACATTTTAATATTGATTTTATGCATTTGTCAAACATGATGAATCTGCTAAATATAATCATAGAATGGCTTGCATTGGAAGGGACCTTAAAGATCATC